TGGAAACTTCATCATGGCCAATAATACTTCCAGAACCTTTAACATTTAAAAACTTTTGTACTCTTGAGCTGCGTTGAGTAGATGTCTTCTGTCTTTTTGATAGAATAGTTTTTTTCACAATTTTCTTAGAAGGTTTTTGTCTACTGTTGTGATACACCAATATATCATTTCTTACTGAATTGCTATGAACAGGACCTAGAGGATTCAATGATAATTTAAAGTTACTAAATTTGTCCAGATGATCTAGGTCATTGAATAAAATCATTTATATTTACAGTGATACCTCGGTTCATGAACTTAATTTGTTCTACGATTTTAATGGGCATGTTTGTGTTCATGTGGGAAAGGTGGCCATAGTCATGTTTGTCACCTGATGCAGAGTTTGCAAACAAAAACAAAATTTTGCTAGACGCTTCTGCTGGTGAACAAAACTGTTTGCAAGCAAAAGCATTCATGAACTGAAGTACCACCACTTACAAATACGTATTAAACAGACCAATCTCATAGGCTAAATGTTTTCACTTTAAATTTGTTAAAAATTTTTTAAACTCAATTTAGAGAGACATGCCCCAGACCCTTTAAATCCATAACCTTTTCAAACAACCCTCTCTCTGACTTTACCCATTACTCTTCTGATTCTCCTTAAGATCCTGGTATTCCTCAAGGTTCCAGCTTCAACTTTTCACCCCATGTACTGTCTTTGGAGGACCCACCTACTGATAGCTTTAATTAATATTTATATGCCAATATCAATTGATATCCACCTATCACTCTTTCCTAAATCTGTCTCTCTTGCTTTACTTCCAATCTTAATGAAAAGTAAAACTATCCAGATGCCTAAATCAGAAATCTGAATCATCCAAGACTCATGCTCCTACTCACAGATCAATTCCTAAGTGCTTTAAGTCCTATTTCTCAACTAGGCTTTCATAATTTTTTGCCTGTCAGGAGTTTGCTTATTTCATTAACAACTACTCTCACATCCTCTTCTAGAGAAACCAAAAAGCCAGCAGTAATGAATTATTTGCAGTTTTTCTGAAGCACTGGTTCTCAAAAGACACTCCTTAGACTAGTATTAAGCTCAGCAAGGCCCGAGAATTTGTAACACAAATTCTCGGGCCTATTTCAGACCTACAGAAACAGAACCTGGCAGAGAAGGCCCAGTAATCTGTTCCAACAAGCGCTCCAGGTAATTGAGGCACACTATGAAAAAAAATAAAGACCAAGCTTGCACATGTTACTTCTCCTTGAGCCATGCCATCCTTCCTCTTCCTACCACCCAGTGATCTAACTCCTAATTCGTCCTTCAAGAAGTCTCTAATCCCCAAGTGTAAGACTAGCTCTCTTTCAATTCTCTGATAATGTTCATCACATATCTCACTGATTATTTATATCCCTCTCCTTCATCAGAATGACAATTTCTTGAGACCAAGGAACTGACTGGTGTTTTACTTATCATGTTCATAATGCCAAACAACAGGAGCATAACCGTTCCAAAACAAAAAAGTAGAGTCTGGTGAAATTTTTAATAAAGTACTTACTTCCAGGGTCATACAAGAGCCTGAATTCAAACAACCCTGAAACCAAATGACTCCTAAAGATTTTCTGCTACAGAGATTCATTACTATTACACTAGCCCTGATCCTGAATTATACCATTCCTCCCTTAGAAGCACTTAATAAATATATATTCATATATACAAAAGGGCAGCAGTGCCACATATGCATTATATGCACTTTAAGGAAAAGTGATGAGATTTTTCTGGACTTGAGACTTCAGTTTCTTTTCCATCAGCTGAAAGAGTTTGGACTATATAAACTATAAGCATTTCCCTACTTTTGTGACTCTTAACTTGGTCAGAAATCCAACACCTAATTTCAGAAATGTTACAGAAGACTTTTTTTGCTAAGTTTCAGAGTTCTATATGTTTACCCAACCTCTGTAAGATTTTTATTACTCGTATGTTTACATTATCTACCACAGTACTGTGTTTCGGGCAACCTGGAGAAGAAAAGTGAGCTTCCCAAAGCAGTAACAGTAGTGCTAGTTAACATGTTCATCTACTATGTATATCAATGGCATGTAATCCTTATAAAAACTCAAAGGGGAAGGACTGCAGGTTATGCAGTGAATAACTAAAGAAAAAAGTTACTCATTGAGAGAAATCATAATTTGAACTCAGATTTGACTCCAAAATCCAAGGAGGCCTGCAGAACAATAAGTAATAAATGCTATTAATCAAGGATCCCGATAATTCAACAATTGTTCCTATGACTCAATAATTCATAGCTACAAGCCCTCACATATCTAGTGCCATATATGTACTAGTCTCTTATTGATTTGAAGACCTCAGTATACCCACTTTAATATCTAATATATAAAAGCCTGAAATTTTTCAATCTTTCCCAAATCTTTTTCTCTCAAAAACAAGCAAACATCCTGGCAAGCAAATATATAATCATATGCCTAAAATCCCAGCACTTGGGAGGCTGAGGCAGAAATTGCTTGAGTTCAAGGCCACCTGGGTTACGTACTGACCAAGGCCAGCCTAAACTATATAACAAGATCCTATTTCAAAAAATAAAAACAAACAAACCTGAGTGATCTCAGGGTACGGTCTCTCTCTTCTTCCAACCCATTAGTACTCCCTCCTTTTACACTCTTCAAAAAATAATCCTGAATCCAATTACTACTATCTATTACCTTCACTAACCTCCTAAAACTAGTCATTGCTTCCATTTTTGCCCACCCCAATAGTCTTTTGTTCATTGCAGTTATCAACTCTTCATTATGATCTGCCTGTCAGAATTTATCTTCTGATTCATTCTGCTCAAGACACACTGGCCTTCTCCATTAGGACAATTACAAACACTGTTGTCTTGGTAAGGAATGTTCCACTCTTAGCTGTTTGTATGGCTCTCTCCTTAATGTATTCATATATGGGCTTTGAAAGATCATAACAGGCTATCATACTACTTGTTATAAAAATAATGTCCCACTCTATCCTTCTATCCATCCCCACCCATCATTTCCTTCCCATTTCTCTCCATTATTTTATTTTCCTTATTATCTATCAACACATGAATTATTTAACTATATTGTCTTCTCCCATTAGAATGTAAATTCCAAGAGAGCAAGGACCCTTCATTTTTGAGTTTCTTTTTCCACTACAGTATCTACACCCAGAACACTATATGTGCACCTAGAAACTTCCTTATAATTAATTTAGTATTTTTCTTGATGACTAATTTAATTCTATCCTCATGAGATTTTTCCGTATTAACAGCAATGTAACCAAACATAAACTTGCTCTAAAATGATTTTGGGGGGCCACTCAATGGATATAATTTAAATAATACTTACTTTCCTCTGCATTTATCATCCACCAATCAGATGGACGCCTAGAAACTCTGTGACTTCTCGTGATAGTCAAAGTCATTTCTTCAGGTACAAGTTTCTTCCTCTTAGACTCACTGGAAAAATGCTTCTTTCTGGATTCTTTCTTATCTTTTTTGGTGCTACATTTTGTTTTCATATTTTCTATAATAAAGAAAAACAAAAATCTAAATTTAAGAAAATTTAAAATCTCAATAACGAGTTGTCAAAAAAATGAGAAGATTTTAAAAAGAACAAAACTCTCAACTATAGGAAATCTAAAATTTCATCCTGTAGTCTTCTTTTCATCTCTTTTTTTAAAGTCACATGTTTTCAAAAGACTTCTAATTTTCTGTCAATTAAATCCAAACTTTTCAAGTTCTTTGATAACTCACATACGCCTAAAAAAACAAAAAATATATTTGGAAAGAAAATATATTCCTCTTATTATTTACCAATGTCCAAATAAGTAATTACTATTTTTCATTTTGAAATAATTAACGATCTTTTTTCAATGTAATTTTTGGAAGAGATTAAAACTGTGACTAAATTATAAACCTTCTGTCTTACTTTTCTCATTGCTAAGTCAAAATACCTGATACCCAAAATTAAAGGGGGGGAAAGAGTTTATTTAGCTCACAGTTTGTAGAGGTTTCAGTCCATAGTGGCTGGCTCCACGGCAGGGTGGCACATGGCATAGGGGGAACAGTTCATGGAAGTAGAAGACAGCAAAACCAACAAGAGACTTTGACAGCTTCTTTCTGCCCCTTTTACACTCTAGCATGAGGCTTGGGGGAACATCTAAACATAAGCCATAATACCTTCAAATGAAATTGTTTTGGATTATCCAGATTGGACCAACCCATGTCTCCTTAAGGCTGTGGTCAGAGAGATAAAAAATGATGGAAGAGGCAGGAGAAATTCAGAACACAAGAAGCCTAGAAGTGCTAGTTTTGATGATAGAAGAGGACACAAGTCAAGGAATATAGGGGGCTTCAAGACACTGGAAAAGGCAAGGAACAGTTTTCTTGTCGAGCTATCAGAAAGGAATATGGCTCTGCTGACACTTTGGTTTTAGCTCTATGAAACTTCTGAACTACACAACTGAAAGTTAAAAACCATATGCTGCTTTAATCCACTATGTGTGGGGTATTTTGTTTCAAAACTAAAATAGCACAAGCTGGTACAGTACAGTAATCAATCAGAACATTATATTCACTAACCAATCTAAAGAGCATGAAAATTCATGTACAAAATACAGAAGGTACTCAATAAATGTTTAATATTTACAAGAGAGAAACCTTCAAGTACACATCCTTCATGAAGTATCTTTTCCTAAGAGATTATGGATTGATCAAAATTCTGTACTTTCAAATTTTATAAATTCATATTCTGCTTAAGGGCAGGGAGAAAAAAAAATTTCTTGTAACTACACCCTCAAATTAGTCAAGATTCTTTATGTTGTGTTTTCTTAAAATGCCCAAGATCTAATTAAAAACTAAAGGAAGCAAACAAGGAAATAATCCAGTACACAGAATATGGGACAAGGGAGACATTTACAAAAAGAGTTCCTCAAAACAGAAAAGGTGGCGGGCCAGGGATTTACCTCAGTGGTTTCACCGCCTGCTGCGCAAGCGCAAGGACCCAAGTTCAATCCCTGGTACCAAAAAAAAAAAACCCAGAAAAGGTGGCTTTCCCCCTCTATTTTAAGCAAAATAAAGAAAGGCATACAGGCAAAACTGAAGTCTGTCAACTACTACTTCAGACAATATAAAGTCTATTTTTTTTGGTACCGGGGATTGAACTCAGGACCTCACGCTTGTGAGCCAGGTGACAGAACCACTGAGCTAAATCCCCAGCCCGTTTTCTATTTTTTAAAAAAGTTTAAATACTCTCAATTCTTTCTCTCCTCTCAACTAATACAATATAATCACCTAGAATCCTTATGTAGACATACAATTGCAGTCAAGAGCATTTTCTACCTAGCTAACAGTTTTATGAACTCTACACAGGTAGAGTATCTTGGACCTTCTTTTTTTCTTTTAATCTCCTTTGAGTGTTATCTCCTCTGATACAAGACTGTCAAAAAGGTTAATTTATATTATACACATATATAAAGTACCTAATACTTTCAATAAGTGTTTTCTGTGCAATTACCTATTCAGAAAAGCTTTCTATAAGAATAATATTTTTTATTAACTGAAAAATACAAAGAACATACATTGACCTTTCTTCACAGAAAATCATAATCAACTATAGAATGATGATATAAGGGTCCCAGGTTAGCCTGGGACAATCTCAGACTGTGCCAGCTTGATGCTGTCATTCTCAAGAGTCTTTATTGGGATGATAAATTATATAGTCACCCAAGATACAAATACCTATATTGTTTAGGTAACTGTTCTCTAAGCTTCTACTTTAATCCTGTGTATATAAATATCCTGAATTTTTTTCTTTAAATTATGTTAATAACTTTAAAGAATTTATGATGGTGTCTTAGTCATATTTTGATCTACTAACTTGTTTACTAGTCCTTCCCTTTCACATTTCCCTCTAGGTATGCTGTCAACTAAGAATCTAAGCAAATACCATTTGAGTTGAACTGAATCATATGCAAAATGAAGAATCTATAAGGTTTCTGAAGCTCTTTGTAGATTTAGTTTTGCTCTGCTTACTTTCCAAAGTTAAGAAGGATATTAAAAACATAAAATGGTAACGTTTATACCTTTATTTAACATAAACACTTACCCACAGGAGGCATCTCTTTTTTGGCATTGTGACCGTTTCTCATCTCTTCACAACCTTCAGTAATTCTGTCTGAATTTCTTGGTAACTTGTCTTGGGCAATATGTGACATATTTTCATCTTTAGTCTGTCCTGTATCAGGCTGTTCTTCAACTACACTGGTCTTCAATTTTCTTTTCTGTTTTTTCTTTGTAGTCCTTTTGTTTCCAGATGGTTTTTCAGCTTTCTCAGAATACATTTTTATAGATCTACAATTACTTTCCAATTCATCCGTCAAAGTACAACTTGTACTTGGTTTCTTTTCATTAAGAGGCTCAGATTTCTCTTCTGGGTGAGCTTTATGTAAATGTTTGTCACTTGTCAGAGTCACAGGTAATACACTCTGATGTTCTCTTGGCTTCTCACATTGAAGGACTGCAGTGCTCTCAACAGAGGATACTGTATGTTGTTTCAAAGGTCTACTCTTTCTTGGTATTGTAATCCAAGATTGAGAGGCAAAACTTCTATCTGACTTATCAATTATAAATTCATCTTCCAACAATTTTGTATCATTTGGAGGAGATAAATGAGATGGAGCCATTGCTGTATGCCTAACAATGGGACTAAAACAGGATATGTATTGTTTTAACAGCTTAAAAAAAGTTTTATCTTTTTATAGTGGGGGAAAAAAAAATCTATGTATCTATTTAAAAAGCAGTTCACATGTCTCAATTTTCCCTTAATTTTACAAGATCCTTCCTCCCTTTTCAGCTAAAAACCTCTACTTACAACACTAACAGGATCACAGAAAATTAGAGCAGGGTAACTAATTTGACAGCCCCCTAAAACATATATGCTAAAAAATGGAAACCCAGAATTGTATAATCATAACTCAGCCAATTTAACTTAAAACCAAAACGAAAGACACCAGTGTATATATTAAATTATCCTTGTATAAGGGCTTTTGGAGTCTGAATTTCTTCATATTCCAAACAAGGGTGGGCAAGATTATTTCTGAGAAACTTCTACATATACTATTTTAAAAGAACACTACTAAATCACTAAGAGATCAGAGCAGATGTCTTCTTATTTTTTATGTACCACAAGACTTCATATACAAAGGCACTAACATTAAGACACTGAGTGAAAGAAATGTAAAAAAGGAAATCCATCATGGTGGTGTAGAGAAAGCAGCATACACATACAGAGAGCTCCATAGTATGCACCATAGTTGTCTGTCACAGTGTGGCTATGTGAGATGACAAAGTTACCAACCACCAGAATACACCCTAAATGGGACAGTAAACAGTTAAAATACAAAAAACAGGACAGCTAGAATAAGAAGCAAAGTCATATATTAAGCTCAGGCCCTCGCCCCACATAGGTCCAGAGATACTACTGTTCACAGCATGGCAGAGCCAAGCAGTTTCCTTTCTGGGATTCTGTGATAATACAAAAGAGACCACCAAATCACTGGCACTGGTTACAAGTCCAGAGAATTAGCCACCCTTTACAAAGCATAAAACTTCCAAGGAAAGAAACTGGGGATTGGGAGGTGGCCAAAACTAGGCATTCACTCCAGATGCTACAGTCCCTAAACCCTGGTAGAACTCACCAGGACACTGCCCAGAGTACATGATAATAACGGAAAACCGATTCCTACTCCATGAGTGCAGAGCCCAGCCCAGGTAGAGACCTAGCTGCCCTGTAAAACACTAAAAAGTTTTAAAGGAAGGGAAGAGGCAACCACAGGTGAGCACTCACCCCAAATACCATTGCCCACACTGTAGCAGGAGTTCCTTGATTCCTGCCTCTCTGGCCCTGGGTATAGGGTGATATATGAAATAAAGATAAATTCAGAGGCCTGTGACAATTAGGATCAATGGAAGTGGGGGATGGGAAGAGAAACAGTCAAAACTAAAAGGGAAAACCCTTCTCCCTAATCCCTGGAAGATAATGAATTTGCAGAGGTCTGAGCAGCTGAGGAAGGGAGGCAGCAGTTCCAGACATGGTATAAGGACAGTTTATGGCTGCCAGAAAACCCTAGGATGAAACTCACTATAGGAAGGAAAGTAAATGAACACCAAGGATCCTGAGAAAAACAGGTCAAGTGGACTAATGACAGCAGGACTGAAACTGGGTTGAGCATTAGCTGTCCCTTCAACACCTGCCTAGAGTCAGCATATGAAACAGATGTGGTAATCTGTTTGCATCCTCAGACTCCCTTACTCTCAAAATGTGGCAGTGGGCTTAAGTGTGTATTTCCTTCATATGAGTGTGGATTAATGTTTAATTTTTAAAGTAATTTACACAGGCCTACTGAGTTCTCCCTTACCAAAGGTTGCTTCTTGAATCTTCAAGCACTGAGTTTCTCCAGGCAAAGACATGAGTTCCAACACCCATAAAGTCTCTCACTTATACTTCCTTCTCTTCTATACCTCTGCCCACCTCACATAACCTCTCAAACCTCCTCTCCGTTCCCCTCTCCTGTCCACACATAAAAATAACACCATCAAAAAAATATTTTCTTCCCTTTTTTTGCTTTTATTATATATTACTTCATTTTATTCCCCTTTTTCTTCTCTTGGTTCTCAGTCTATTCTACATCACTAGTATTTCTTCCTCTTCCTGGGTTGCTGAAAGATAAAACTTTTGAACAAGTTTTAAATTAAGTGTTGATATCTGATTAGTTCTTTGGATGTTGTTATCATTGGTTATTGTTCTTTCCTCACAAGGCAGTAATAGGGACTAAACCTAGTCAGGGCTTTGAATAGGTGGAGTAGATATCTTACTGACTCATACCCAAAACCAAGGGCACATCACAGGGAGAAACCTACTTGCTAAAGAAACGTCTACTATAGTGGCAAAGCTTTCTATTCCAACTGATCTATGCCATTCAACATAAAAACACAAAAATTAAGAGAAAACAAGGCAACAAGGTGCCTCCAAAAATTCGTAACGCTGCAAAAGCTGATCTCACAGTCAAGGAAGTGGTTCAAAGAACAACAGCTAAAATGTTAAAGAGACTAAAGTTGGGACAGACAAGCAGATACATGTAGCAATTACTAAAATATTACATAATCTCCAAGAAGGTGGGCATGAGCCGGGTGTGGTGGTATTCGCCTGTATTCCCAACATTAGGGAAGCTAAAGCAGGATCACTGAGTTTGAGGCAGCCTTGACTATACAGCAAGACTTTGTCTCAAAACAAAAATAACCAAAAAACCCTAAAACAAAATGAAGTAAAAAACATACAAATTTCCTTATTGCATATTATTTATAATACCTACTAATTATCTGTATATAAAGAAGCAATACTAAGGATTTTTTTTTTTTTGGTACCAGGGATCAAATTCGGAACCTTGCGCTTGCAAAGCAGGCAGCAAAACCACTGGGCTAAATCCCTGGCCCACTAAGAATTTTAAAAGAAGCCTTCCCAAACCAGCCAACAAGAACTATCCAAATCTGTTCTTCAAATTCAAGGGACTTCCATCTGATCAGTTCAGGAAACTGAAGCTCTTGAGTTAGGTTCAGTAAGAACTGGTCATGGGAAGTGCATGAAAGACAAACGGAAAAGCATAAGCAAAAGCAATGATGCTATAAAGCATGAAGAAGAGTAAGATGCTATATCTGTCTAAAGCAAAAACATAAAATTAATTTTGTTCAGTAGTTTACCAAAGAACATTAAAAACACCCAATTGTTCTTCCACATATAATTACCCCGTACATGTAATATATTCATTTAGGATAGTGGGAACAACATGCATATGGGGGTAAATGCATGTGTATGTGTGTGTGTATGTACACACATATCATATAACTGACAAATGAACTATGGGAACAGAGACTGAACAAAAGAGGAATTTCATCTATTCATTCAATATGTTCTTATAGAAACTTCTTCATACGTTCACTAGAACTCTGACAGATACCACAGAAAACATAAAAGAAATTCTAAATTCCTAGGAAGGAGCACTTAAGTTATAACTAATAAGGATATACATAAACTAGAAAAATTATAATATGAGGCAAAACAAGTATTAAAAACCACTGATGTACAATTTGAAAAAACCCAAAGACCTAATGCACACCTTAAAAGAAAATGGTGACTGGCAAAAGACAGGAAAAAGGGTCAACGCAAACAGAACTGCAAATATGTATGACCAAGTGGGCAAAAACAGGGGATCTTAAATACCAACTGACAAAACTTAAGTTTATTCTACAGATCAGTGGTTCTCGACTCTGGCTGCCATTAATTCTAAGTAACTCTAAACATGCATTCAGGGTTTGAGAATCACTATATGACAGCACAGAATCAATGAAGGTTTCTGAGCAGGAGAAACTACATTAAAATTTATTTAAAAACCTTTCACTGGCACAATGAGGAAAAACAGAAAAAAGACAATAGTGAAATACAGGTGCCATGACTTTATTATATTTCTAAATACTTTTCATTTTTTTATATCATCACAGACAAACTTTTAGAAAGAATCAGTGAGCAATAAGAACCAAATAACTCATTTTCTTTTGCATTTAATTTAGTATCTATTAAAAGGATGGCTTTGGGGGGTGAACTACTGGCAAAAACAAAAAATAAAACCCTACCTCTCCTTACAGATCAAGCAAAATTTCAATTAATATTTGTGTCAAGTATTTATTTATAGGTTAAATAATACTGAAATCTCATATATAGTTCATAGAATGGAAAACAAAGCAATGTCAAAGCACTCACCTGGATTCACCTTTTCTCTTTACAGTTTCTAAAAACAATTTTGAAAAACTCTTTTTAGCTTGGGATTGAACTTCATATTCTGTATCTTGTACTCTTTTTGGAGATGTTTCTGATCGTCTCCTTTCTTGTTGTCCTGATACTTTATCTTCTACTTCTGACTTGTTAGTCTCTCTCTCTACTTTTTTCAAAATATATTTATCTTCAAAGTTTAACCTAATAGGTTACAAGAAAACCAAGCAAAATGCTCCTGTTTGTTATGACTCTTCCTGAATTCCTTTACAATGACTATACAGACCACGTAATGACATTTTCCACTTGGTTAAATTATAAACCAAGAAAATGTGTAGCGTAAAACATGTAGCTATTTCTCAGAGTACTGCAGCAGACTACACTTTGAATAGCAAAGTTTTAGAATATACTTAACTCGTTGGTTCTAGGAATAAAATAATACTCTAGAAAGAAATTACACTAATTACAAAGGTTCCCATTAATAAAGGACCTTGAATAATCAATCCATTTACTTCCTGAAAGCCAAAGGGAAATCTCCAAGAAATGGCACAAGATTTACAAGTCATCCTCAGCAATGCATATGCTTTGCTAACCTAGAAATGACATAATAAGTAATCTTTGCAGTTATAAACAAAATGAAGCAAACACATTTTTTTCCTTTAGGAACTTATAGGAAACTAAATAACACAAACAAAACACATTTTTCCACAGACTACAGAAAAATTAACCCCCAATTTCTTGGAAGCATACTTTAAGGCCTTCCTTATTAAGTATAAATGAATATACAAAAGGTGTATTATTTTTCTTATAACATGTTAATATTTCTTAATCCTTACTACAAAACTACATCAAAATGCTATACTACCAATTTTTAATATTAAAGTTAAAATGTTTAAAGTAACAATGTTATTATTTAAATGAAAGGTTACCTTTTTTTGGTTTTAAGAGAAATCTCTGTACTTGAAGACAGCGTATGTTCTGAATTTCCAAAAGTATAAGTTTCTCTCTTTTGGGTAGATGAAACAGCATTTTGCGATTCAGATGGTTTTTCATGCAAAAGAACAGTGGGCGAGCCAACTGATATGTAAAATTCTTCATCAGCTTCAGGGCAAAGACCACTTAGTTTTTTACCTGAGTTTTTTGTCAAGTCAGGTGTACTCTTAGAACAAACATCAGCTGCCAGAATTTTCTGATAAATTCCATGGGCCTGAACTAAAAGAAAATTACATGAAGCTACTTATTAATTTAAAAGATAACATTAGATCAAAGGTGCTTTTAAATTCAGCAATAATTTAATTAGAAGTAGTTTTCAGAAGACTCACAGGTCAGTAAATTTAGAATAAAAGGTTATGATTAAAATACATTAAGTATTTTAGAAGTTCTGAAAAGATATATCTTCAAAACATAGAAAATCACAAGTTTATTGATAAAGTCTTAAAGTGTGAATAAATGTAATCTATACACAGCTAACATAATAAAGTAACCTAGAAAAATCACAAGATTTTTCTGTTTAGGCTAAGAGCTGGTAAGCTAAGGCAGCTAAACGAACATATTTATACCATATACACAACATTCGGAGACATATACTAACACATGTATGTATATATACACACGTGCATATGCATCTATTTATCAATGTATATATAAACAGGATAAATATATATTTTTCTCTTAACAATCAATCTTCAAATATCAAAGAATGGCTAGGTAGTATTCATAGTGGTTCACGTCCCTAAAAAGCAGAGGCTAGAAATCTAAAATACAACCACAAAGAGTTTTTGATTCTAGAATTAAATGACATTTCCCAGTTTCTCCCTCTAAGTACAACTAAATTCCTTACAAACTATCCATTGATCAATAGTGATAGGTCTCCCACCACCTCAGCAGCTATTATGTATAGTAGCTGCCCTCTTCCTATGGTGCCTTGCCCCCTCCCGTGTGACATCATGCCAAGATGGTTGCTCCCACCAAAGAATAAACCCTTCTTCCCAGTATGCCCCTGTTCCCGCCTAGAAAGTAACCTAATACTCGCTCACCTCCTACCACCTAGTGACATCATGGGCTCCTCCATTCCCTAGTCACTACCTCACTCAACCCCACCTCTGCCCCTACAAACCCCACCCCAGTCTCTATAAAAGACTCTCCCTGCCCCGGCCATATTGCTTTTGTCTCTCCTTTGTTCAGAGACAGCCCAGCAGATCTATTCCCCTAATAAAGGCTTGTTGTGGCCTGGTCTGGTCTTGGTCTTCGGCCCTTTTGCCTGACAAATAGGTCAGGAATGGTGGTGCACACCTGCAATCTCAGCATTTAAGCGACTTTGGCAAGAGTATTGCCACAAGTTCAAGGTCAGCCTGGGCTACATAATGAATTTTAGACTAGTTTTAACTACACAGCTAGATCTTATCTCAACCCCCTCCATCTAAAAACAACAAAAGCAAAAATGAAGAAAAGAAAAATCACAATACCAGGATTCTGAAAGCTAGGAAGAAAACGGTGGACTAGCTAGAAATTGAAACTCTAGTATTCAAGGAACAATGTGGTTCTTTGGTTAAGTTTCTTGTTCATCTTGTACATTTCCCTAGAATGGGCAACAGAGAAGCCTTGAACCCATAGCAAACAATTAGGCAAAAGGGGAGACAACAGAAGAGGAAAAAGGCCCAGTTGCTACCCAAGTAGTCATATCAGGAGTGATGATCCACAGGCAGGAGCTACAGAGGAGTGAAATTTTGGTTCTTCCCAGTCCCTGCTTCACACCACAAGGGGCTGTTTTGATCTAGTGGTGTCAATCATATGGCATTGTGTTTTTCTTTTAAGACAAAGGATATTAATATAGACTGATTTTTTTCTAAACTAAAAACTCAGTATTCAGGTTTAACTGCAATGTTGGCACTTTGCAATAAATAAGTGGGTTTTGGGTTGCAGTTTGGCACTTGGTCTTTAAAAGGTTCACCATCACTCCCCCCAGGCCATTCCAGTCCCTATTTCACAACCAGGGCACCAGCACACTCTAAGCTGAGGCAAGAAAACCGTAAGAGATAGCACAGTGTCCCTGTGCCTGACACCCATGATACCAGGCCCAGCAGTTTCTACCTGGAACCAAAAATGAGTGAACAAGGACATAAGGAGGCTCAAGAAAGCACTTATACCCCACCCAAGACAACACTAAGATGAACTAAGCCAGAATCCAAGCAGCATAAAAAGCGAAGCGGACCAAAATACCACTGCTAGAAACAGACCCTACAAAGGCTGGGAAGACCCCACACATTACAACAAAATAGGTCAACTATGTTTTACAACAAAAGATTTAAATATGATCCAGAATCTCTTAGCATTAACAACCAAAATGACCAAAATATTATCAAAATGATTTGCCATATCAAACAATAGGAAAAAAAATCTAAACAGGAAAATATGAATGGACATAAATAAATGGAATGAATCACTGGTTGCAAATATTTAATAAAATTTAAAGCATATATCAAAATTCTTTAACAATCAATTATCAATTCTCTTAACTGAAAAAGAAGTCTGAAAGAAATAAGAGTTTTAAGAAAAAACTAGTTGTTTTGGATTTTAGTCATTTCTTTTGATGTATGGTTTCTAAATGTTTTAATTTAAAATGCCCTTATGACTGATATTGAGCAAATCAAATCCACAATGAGATACTTCATGCTCATTAGAATAAGTATTATTTTAAACAAAATAAAAAGAAACAGAAAATAACTATTGGTGATGACATGAAGAAATCAGAACTCTTGTGAAATGCTGACAGGAATATAAAATGGTACTAAGAAAACAGTACGCCAGATTCTTAATAGTAAAAAACAGACTTGACAACAGTGTAACTTAGTAATTATAACTGAAAAATAATATGCTACATCTACATAATAATTCCATAGTTTGATTGCAATAACCACCATTTGTTATATTCATGGAATCAGTGTGTAGGGACAGGAGGCACTGTAGGTAGGGAAAACACAGGATAAAATGGCCAGAAGGCCTAAGTTAGGATCAAAGACAGTCAAGGCAACAGCTCAGATATTGACAAGCACTCACCTGGGGGATGGGAAAGACACTGGTCATCAATAAAAGGACCCGGGGATAAGACTTTGTGGGTTTTTCAGCTCTAAAACCCCTACCACCTTATGGTAGCTCTCTATCCTCTTTCTTTTCCATCTTTTTTCCCCAAATAAACCATCTTTTGTTATACTAACCTTCGTCCATTTTTAGTTCTTTACTAGCGCCAGGTTTAGAATCACTGGGAGCTACATTTTCAGCAAAGCAGTGGGATGGCATGGTATGGCATGGCATGGCATGGTGAGCTGTCTACCCCTGGATGTAACAAGTGGACCACAAATCTGTTAGGGTGCAGCAGGTACAGCTTGTCACTGTTCCATGACGTCTGAGGGTTGGAATCTGTGCAAGCTTGTTTACATGTCTGACCCCTAATGCTATCTGTGGCTGGAAGCCTATTTCTCTCCATGTGAGCTACTTCGGGCCTCTTCATACCATGGTAGTGGGTTTCAAGGGCAAAGGGACAGAGAAGAGATAGGAGCAAGGGAATCAAGATCTCCAGGAAGCTAAGAAGACTCACATAGCCCTTTATGACCTGTCTTAGAAGTAATATAGTAGTACATTTCCATTATTTGATAAATAGTATATACAAATCACCTCTGAAGTTGGTAAGGGGGCAAAATGCTGGCCTGAGTAAGGTTAGGAATTAGTGGAGTCTGCAAGACCAAAGGCAAAAGAAATTATACGTAATCTCTATACTCTAGCAATAAATGTTTCCTATAGGGAATGAGTCAACAAACTCTGATAGGATTACCCATACATACAGGAATTAAAAAGTAAACAGATGGTGAATGGTGGATTACCAATTTCAAACTCATGGTGTGGGTATTTACAAACAAGGAGAGATCCTAGGACACATACGCTAATAGTTTAGAACTGCAGACATCAGTATAAACTCATGTCTAGCTAAATAAGATACAGAGCACTGCATATAAATGTATTAGCAGATATGTTACTTACACTGATTAGTTTATCACCCTACTCAATCAGTTGAGGGCATCTATAAGCAACAACATCCCAAGAGTGACATTATAACTAGCACCCAGACCTTGGTTCCGTATACCACTCTCCAGTTAAAGGAGATGGCTCCTTGGAGAAATAGTTTTTTCCTACGATAGAAGTAGGAAATGCATAAGATAGACTTAGAGCATCTTGTTAGTTCCAGAAGGTAAGAAAGTACTCAAAAAACAACAAAAACGGGGTATGTCAAAGGGACATGAGCTAATGAAAGAGCTTCTAATGGCCAAAGCTGGAATAATTTGAGTAACAAAATTAATAAATACTATTAATTATAATATAATATATAATATATATTATATATTATATATTATATGTAATATATATTATATATATTATATATAATATATATAATATAATAAAGTTTCTACCTGAGAGGGGAAAAAAGAGCAGAAACCAGTAAAAATGAAAACAAAATAATACAAAAAATTAATAATACAAAAATCTAGTTCTTTGAAAAAAACAGTGATAAACCTTTAGCAAAACTGACAGAGATGACAAAGATAACAAAAGACACAAAACATCAATAACTGGAAAAAAAAATAGGAGTTATCACAACAGATCCTGCAGCCATTAAAAAAATAATAATGTAGTGTAGACCTGGTGTAGTACAGCGTGCCTGTAATCCCATAACTAAGGATTGCTGCAGGCCAAGGGGGGCTACATAGTGAGCTCAAGGCCAGCCTGAACTGAATAGTGGGATCATGTCTAAAAAGACAAAAAAAAAACCCAAGTATAATATTACAAACAACTTTACCCTTATAAACCAAGAAGTTGTAGAGAAACAGACTAATTTCTCAAATATGACAAAATTACCAAAATTAAGCCAAGATGAAACAGATAAAAAACAGACCCGTAACTATTAAAGAACTGAATTTGCAATTTAAAAGTTCTTGAAGAAGAAATTTCCTAGACCAGATGATTGGAAAATGTTATACCAAACATCAAGGAATAGCCATTTTAAAGTCTTTTCTAGAAATCAGAAAAAGGAAATAATTTCCACCCTATTTTATAAGAAAAATATAACCTTGATACCAAAACTATATATATCTAGCATTTAAGGGGTGGAGGGGAACAGGGCTGGAGATGTAGCTCAATGGTAGAGCATTTTCCTAGCCTACATGAACCTCTAGATTCAATTCCCAATAGTGCAAAAAGAAAAAAGAAATAGAAAAGTATGGGTCAGTAGCTTAAATGAAAAAATCACTAAGAACATTCCAATGAGTCACATCCAAAAATGCATAAAAAAATAGTAAGAATACATGATAACTGGCATTTATAGGCAAATACACCCAATCACCAACACAATTTCTCAACTGTCTACAAATCATTCATAAAGATAGATAATATCCAGGATCTTTACAAATTTAGAAATACTTAAATCACATAGTACAATGTCATAAAAGAATCAAGATTAGGATAAGGAAAAGACAACAAGGACATTTCCAAACACTTGAAAATTATACTTCTAAAAAAACCTAATGATTTGAAGAAGTCTCAAAAAATAAATACTAGAGTTATTATTTAACCATATTAAATATTATATATTTATATTGTGTTATGTTAAATATTTAAAATACTTAGAAATAAGTACAACAAACAAAATATTTAGGATTCAGTACAGAATGCTAGGAAGGAAATGAATGTTACTAAGTCATACATTTCGAAGGAGGAAAGAGCAGGGCTGGGATGTAGCTCAGTGACAGAGCACTCGCTTAGCATGTGCAAAGGCCCTGGGATCCATCTCCATCTCCAGCATTGAAAAAAATAAACAAATAAAAGAAGGAAAAATCTCAATTCAATGACTACACTATGACCAAGCAAAAATTCTTCCAGGTACCCATGGTTGGTTAAACATTATAAATTGGTCAATGGAAGTCACTATGTCAAGAGAATAAAGAAAAGTCATGCAGTCATATCAATTTATGCTGAAAGTGAATTTGACAAAATCTATATCTAGCCACAATTTAAAAACTGCCAGTATACTAGGAATAGAAAACTTTCCCAATCTTATCAAGAACACCTACAAAAAACCTACAGCTAAGCCAAGTGTGGTGGTGTGGACATATAATCCCAGTAATTCTGGGAGGCTGAGGCAGATGAATTCCAAGCTGAAGCCCAGCCTAGGCAACTCAGTGACTTAGCCAGACCCCATCTCAAAATAAAAAGAAATGGGGTGTAGCACAGTGTGAAGGCCCTGTATTCAATCCCCAGGGAGGAATCTACAGCTAAAATTATAGTTAATAAAGAGACCAAATGCCTTCTAAGAGCAAGATCAAGGCAAGAATTTCTAGTCTCATTATTCTTATTTCAGTTAAAATCCTAAAACAGACATGAATGCCTACTATGATCATTATTAGTCAACAATGACTCAGAGACTCTAGCAAACACAGACTAAATAACCATACTAAACATAAAACAACAGATAAAAACCTCTTTAGTTGACAACATGGTTATATGGCTTAAAAGAAATTAAACCATTCTAAATGTTTAAACTTCTCAGATTTAAAAAAAAAAATCTTGGTAAGTACTAGATTAAAATTTTCTTTAATTAGCCCCTTATGACTAAAGAAAAATTCTATTCAGAACAAAACAAAAATTACAATATAGTTAGGATTAACCTTAATAAGAAATTCAGTCACTGAATACTAAGAGTTGAGGAGAATGAGGAACTAGAAGACAGACTTTTTTTAAAACTTTTTTTCAGCAAGGCAAGGTGGTATATACCTGTAATCTGAGCACTATGGGAGGCCAAGGCAAGAGCACAAGAAGTTTGAGGCCAGCTTGGGCAATTTACCAAATTAGTAAGACCCTGTCTCAAAATAAAAAAGGGCTAGCAATGTAACTCAAAATGAAACCCTGGGTTCAATACCCAATACTACAAACAAACAAATAAACAAACATTTTCATTTCACAATATAGCATAACATGAAATTAAACTTACCACTTTAACCATTTGTAAGTGTACAACTCAGTAAAATTAAGTTGGATAAAAGTATATAACCATCACCACTATTTCCAGAACTTTTCATCATCCCAAACAGAAACTCTGTACCCATTAAGCATTATTCACCCTTATCCCTCACCCCAGGTCCATGACAGGTTCTATTCTACTTCATGTCTTTCAATTTAACTTGTTCTAAACCTTAATATAAGTAGAACCATGTGTATTTTCTGTCCTTGTGTGTCTGCCTTATTTAACATGTTTCCAAGGTCCTTCCCAGTTTAGCATGTATCATAATTTCATTCCTTTACATAGTTGGGCATTCTGTAGCATATACTATAGGTATATACTGCTGTACTACATGTTGTTTATCAATTGATTTGTTGAGGGACATTTCAGTTATCTCCATCTTTTAGGTATTGTAATACTACTACAGACACTGGTATTCAAGTGTCTGAATCCTTGCTTCCAATTCTTTTGGGTATACACCCAGGAGTAGAACTGTCAAGTCATATGGTAATTCTACATTTAACTTTCTGAGGAACTGCCCAACTTTGTTTTCCTATAGTAGCTACACAACTTCACTTTCTAACCAGGGGGGTTTTGATTTACCCACATTCTCAACAATTGTTATTTTCTTTTTTCCTTTGTAAATAATGACCATCCTAATGAGTGTAAAGTGCAAATTCATTGGGGTCTTAATTTCATTTTTCTAATGACTAATAATTTTTAGCATCTTTTCATATGTTCATTGACCAACTGCATAACTCTTTTGGTGAAATGTCTGTTCAATTTCTCGGTCCACTTTTTAATTGGATTGTTTATTTTTGTTGTTGTTGAGTTGTAGGAGTTCTTTATATATTGTCAATATAAATCAACCCTTATCAGATAAATGATTTCAAATACTTTCTATTTCTTGAGTTGTTCTTTCACCCTCTTGATAGTGACCTTCAGAGTAACATTTTTGTAAGATATAAACAGGTAGGATATGTCCCTTTGAGGAAAACCTAAGTAACATAAAAATGTAAATTCTCACCTAAGAACTATATAAATTAAATGCAATTTTAGGTATAATTTCAATAAAAGTTTACTGGGAATTGGGTAAAACTGTAAGCTCATAGAAAAACAATTTGAGAACAGTAGGGGAATTGTTAAAGTACTTACCCTTTTATCTCAGCACATACTGTAAACTTTTAGTACAAAAATACTGTATTAACATAGGAAGAAATATCATAATTCAAAAGTATACTAAATTGTATGAGACTTAACACATGACTACAGAAGTACATTCAGAACAGAACAGATTAATGAATGGCTCTGATACAGTCCATCTGGAAGAAAACAAACTTGAAAGATTATATACTCAAACCCATTCTAGATGGATTGAAGACTTAAGTTTTTTAAAACATTAAGAGGAACAACCTAACTTCCTACATATACCACTGGTGTAGAGACTTTATTACCAAAACCTACAAAAATCACATATTTGACAATTTCAAAATGTTACCTATTTTACGGTTAAAAATATAATAATCTGGTCCAGGGATTTGGCTCAGTGGCAGCACATCTACCTTGCAAGTGCAAGGTCCTGAGTTCCATCCCCAACACCAAAAGAAAGAACAAAACCAGTATTTTACATATATATATGTACGTATACATATATATACATATATATATACGTATACATATATATACGTATATATATACGTACATATACGTATATATATACATATATATGTATATATACGTATATATATACACAAAAACTATAACCTAGATATCATTTGAAAAATCATATCACATAAATTACAGAAAAATGGTTATAGATATTCAAGTCAAAATCTCTTATGAAGAAACAAAACAGACAAATGACATGGATAGACAATCACAGATAAGTCATACTGTCAGATAAAAGCAAACTCGAATAAACTTATAAGGTGCTCAAACTCAATAACAATCATGGAAATGGACATTAAAGAAACAATGAGATCACTAAATACCAAATGAACTAGCAAAATATAGAATGACTAGTCAATCAGGTAAAAAGCACTAACATTATTTGTGTGAAAGGAAATTTTAACAGCCTCTTCTGAAAGTACTTAAAGACACAAGCTGTATTTTTTTCACTTATGAACACTAATGACATATTAAAGGATTCAAAAGTTACCTGAACAGGATGATAGGAGCAATACTTAGACTTTTCTTTAAAATCTTCGATTCTTACCTCAAAATTCTTACCTCAAAAAAAGTAATACTCTTTAATTTGAAAAATAAAGAAAACTTTTATTAAATTTTTGAGACAAGGTCTCAATACATAGTCCAGGCTGACCTTAAACTCACTATGTAATCCTGATTGACGTTGAACTCTCCTGCCTCAGCCTCCTGAGTACTACGATTGCAGCATGCACTACCACACCTGCAGTTGAAGATAAAACTTTTACAAGCAGCAACCTGACTAAAGGAGAAAAAAATAGAGCACTGACCATAGACTTGAAAATCTAAAACATAATTCATCCATGTCACAATTCTACCTAGGCTGACCCTAACTTTGTCATTTTAACCAACACATGCACAATCTCTGGCATTTCACTTTTTAATTATATTCAGGCAAACAATACCCATAAACATGCTACCAACCTGATCTGCTGGCAGCTTCACTGGGTTCTAAAATGCCTTGCAGAGAGGCTTCTTTCTTTCTTGAAGAAATTGGAAATGACCCTGGATGTGATTTCTGGCACTGAGCATAGAAGAAACACATTAGATCTACTTTATTAAATTACCAATTTTGATTACAACACATTTGTTTTTAAACCAGGAAAAAATATTTTAAAACAACAAACTACTTGTTAATATACACTAAAGTAACTACTGACAGGAGACTGAATAAACAGACTAGCTATAGTCATATAATATCATATATATAATTGTAAAACAAACTACAGTGACATGAATAAATGACTATGTTAACCAAAAAAAGGCAAGTTGCAGAAATACCTGATAATCCCACCAATATAAATTTCAAAATAGATAAAACGAAATACAATATAATACAATATAAATACAATACAATACAGTATTCAGGAATTCATCTCTGCAGGAAAGTATTAACACAGCAGTCCTGATCATTTAAAGGGTCTTTTTACAAAGCTAACTCTTGGCTAGCATCTGGAAACTTGACAAATCGAGGAATATAAGCATTGTATAAAAACATGGAGGAGGTTCCACCGCCTCCCTCAAAAGCACAAGGTCCCAAGTTCAATCCCTGGTACCAAAAAAACCCAAAAAAACATGCAGGTGAAATAGCTAAGAGTTGACAAGTTAGAACTTGGAGAAAGAGCAGGCTTCACTGGTTCTCATAATAATTACCTCGTGGAACTATATGAACTTCTCAGAACTATAACCTTTGATTTTAAAAATTATTCTCCAACAAATTAAAACAAAATACAGAGATAAAATAGTAAATCAGTATAGACTGAATTTTTGAATATGCTAATGAAAGACCTGTGACAAGACCAAAAAATAAAAAATAAAACAAAATATGCTAAATAAAAAAATAACTATAGAAAAGGAAAGGATTAAAAAAAACTATACTCAAAATTGAAAATACAGGAAAATGATGCTTCAAGAAAAAATATAAAATGCCAAAAGTAGCAAAAGGAATATGAAAAATTTAATGGATAACCATTAAATAAAGTGCTAACCACAAAACAAATCCACCAAAAGAGCCCAACTATATGTTTTATGAATGATTTAAAGGAATGGATCATTTTTATTTAATCATATTGTTCCAAAATGCAGGAGAAACTAAGTTATTTTATGAAGCTTAGTTGTATTTCAGTTAAAACCTGAGAAATCATATCTTGCTTAAAGAAAAACAAATATAAACTGGGTATGGTGAAGTATGTCTATAATCCCAGTACTCTGGGAGGCTGAGGCAGGAAGATTCCAGGTTTGAGCCCAGCTAGGGCAACTTAGGAAGAGACTCTTCTGTCTCAAAATTTTAAAAAAGGGTTAGATATAGCTCAGTGAGAAAGCCCTAGATTCAACCCTCAACACACACACACACACACACACACACACACACACACACACCAGGTCTAGAAATTTCAAGTTCTTGAAAAGAAAATCTCATAAGATACATAGTCTTAGGTTTAATTAACCTAATTCAATAAGTCAAATAAACAACTTCCATTTCTTACATGGAAGATCTTGGCCAAACCTATAGCATAGAAAGATCCTATCTAGAAAAACTAACACATACGGTCTCTATTGTTTGGGAGTATCCATTACAAGTTAGAGAAGAAAAATTAATATAAAAATAAGAAGAACATAAAGAGAAATGAAATAAAAGAAAAATAGTAAAATAAAGTAAGCGTAGAAAGAATCAACAAAGCCAAAGTTGGTTTTTCTGAAAGAACAAAACAAAAATACCCTTACAAAGTTCATTAAGGAAAAAGATAAGACATAAACAACCAATGTCTGGAATGAGAAAGGACATCATTACAAATTCTAAAGGCATTAACATGATTGTAGAAAGATACTACAAACAAGTTTATCCAAATAAACTGGAAAATTTAAACAAAATGAATTCCTCCAAAAAGAAAATTTAGCACAATCCAAACAGAAAATGTGAATTATCTACAAATAAAATCTTAATCCTTCACATTTTAGATCTTCCTCTAGATAATAGTTATAAAAGTTCACCAAAATGTCCACTTAAGATTTTATTTGGTTGGGCCAGGGATTTAGCTCAGTGGTTCTGCTGCCTGCCTCACAAGCGCAAGGTCCTGAGTTCAATCCCCAGATCCAAAAAAAAAATTTATTATGGTATAATAAGAAAAAATGAATTCTCATTTTAAAACTTTCCCAAAGAGAAAACTCTTTGTGAATTCTATCAAATATTTAAGGAAGAAATGAAACTGTTTTATAAAAATAGGTTAGGATACCAAAAAACAGGAACTCATTTTACAAGGCCTACAGATCCAATCCACAGCCTGGCATAAGCCAAGCAAGTGCTTTACCACTGAGCTACATCCAGAGCCCTCTTATTTCTTTATACATTCAAAGTTATGAATCCCCTAATAACACTATCTCAGCTAGATCTCATACAAGTTATGATAAGACATATTTGTTATCATTTGGCTTAAAATACTTTTCTATTCTCATCAAAAGTCACTGCAATGGACCTTTGCTTTAGAGAAAGATGTACTTTATCAACAATGGCAAACCTTTTAGACCTTTCAATGATAAAAACAGCCCGCTGTGACACACGTGCTGTAGGTTCACCACCACTGTATTATATTATAAGAGACCAATTCTGATCTGCCTGAAATAGTTTTTATTTTTTATTTATTTTTTTTTTGGTACCAGGGATTGAACTCTGGTCCTTGCGCTTGCGCAGCAGGTGGCAAAACCACTGAGATAAATCCCCGGCCCTGAAATAGTTTTTTAAACACAAAATATATACAAAATTCTCAGGAGACCTGACATCAACGACAAAGGAGTGGTACCTGAGAGATAGGAAATAAATGAAGCAAACTGTCTGATCTCCTGAGCTTACAGGTTACGACGGTATAGACAGGAAAAATCATTAGTTGAGGAGACAAGGCTGGGGATCTGAGGTCAAGATGGTTAGAATTTGCAGGGTAAAGTACTGGACAGGTGGTAGCTATACGAGTGACAACTCCAGAGATGTGTGGATCTCCCGCAAGCATCCCATGTAGATTGATCAGAGCATGCATGTGAGAAAATCATGCAACACCAGAGAAAGAACTACATGAAGCCTGAGGGAGAATAATCCTCAGTCACACTGCACCTAGAAATGCCTGTATCTACCAGTCAGAGTGAAAAACCTCCTTAAATCATGGTACAATGAGTAAAGAACACAGGATTTTTACTTCAGAAGTGAACAAAATTAGCTATAGAATACATGCTGCTAGTCCTTGTTTCCATAGCTCTCCCTACCTCTAAAAGTAGACTATGTTTGCATTTTGTTCTATTTTGACTAGTTATACAGCAAATGTGTTGGCTTATTATGACCTATTACATCCTTTACAGAATAGGAATCTCTAACATAAGTAGACAATAAAAAAAATTTAAGGGAATAATGACTATTATTCATGAATATAGACGTAGATATTTATTAGCAAACCTAATCAAAATATTATTATTTCATGGTGAAGTGAAGTTTATCCCAGGAAACTTAGTTGATTAAGACTTTCAAAAATCACTGTAATTCATTCACCTTATCTCAAAAAAACTACTACTTTGTGTAGTTAAATCAACCTATCTTCTCCTTAAGACATTTTAATGAACAAAACTGATTTCCATAGATAGCAAAAGAGTGGCTTCATTCTTCAGAAAATAGCTAAACTTGTCAACCTGACCAGAAACTTAAATAGCTACCTACATCCCTAAAAACCTAATTGTTATTTTAGAAGAAATGAAAAATAACTGCTATAATTTGTTAATTTAAATTCCCAATTTCAAATACATGAAACATTAAATCAAAATGTTTATAAAACACTCTCAAATTTAATAAACCATCAATGGAATACAGGATTCTCTTTCAAGAATAAGATAAACAACTAAAATGTATTTAACCCATGGAGCATAACACTAATTTTGTCATAAAGGCCCAAGAATACTTTCTTTATATTGTCTTTAGAATATTTTTACTGATAAATTATTAATTTTATAAGTTTTATTATATTAAACAAAGTACTTAACAGAAAAAAGTCACAAAAATAAAGTATTGAATTTTTAATATTTATTGAGCATTTATATAAAAGCATCAAAATTTTCAACATCAATTGTTTTTTGGTGTACAAAGTCTAAAAAAGAACAACACAAATAAATTCTTAGATGAACTACAATGAAAATACCAATAGCACTTTACAGAAATCTTTACTTCAATTATCATACCTAAGGTAATCTGCACATATGACAACAGCATGTTCCACACACACATATCACTTACACTGACACCACACGAGTTTTGCTCTCCTGGCTTTTTCATAGGACATACTTGACACCTCACTGGTCTTGCTATTCTGTCAGGAGTTTCTTATTATATTATACAGTGTGTAGTTAACAGGAACATAAAATACCAATAAAGTATTAAATTCTTAATATGTATTGTGCATTTAGAATAGACATCAACATTTTCACATCAACTGAGTACTTGTTTACAAAAGCTAAATGATAACAGAAATAAATTCCAAATGAACTACAATGGAAATACCAATAGAATTCTACAAAAAAATAAGCTTTGCTTCAACTGTCACACCCAAGGCAGTTTTTACACATGAAAACTGTATGTTCCATGCACACGTCTTGTTTACACTGACAGCACATGTGCTTAGCTTTCCTATGTGGTAGTCTCGTCACTTTTCTTCTCTTCCTGTTTTTTCAGTAGCTTCCTACTATATTGTACAACTTGCATTTAGCAGGGAAATAAGATCAATAAAATAAAATATCAAAACCTATGTGAAAAAAAAAAAACCTATGTGAACTACAATGTAAACACAAAAAAAGTCTACCACAGAAATAGTCTTTCCTTCAAATGTCACACCCAAGGCAGTTTTGACACATGACAACTACATTTTCCATACACAAGTATCACTTACATTGATAGCATGTATGTTTTGTTTTCCTGTCCTTTCTTGTAGGGCACAGTTGACATCTTTTTGGTTTTTCTGTTGTCATAGTAGGTCTTAGTGATGCTGCGCCTGTCTGTTCACCTGTCAGCCACCAGTGTGCTCCACAATTTTTTGCATAGTTCCCCAGAGCAGAAATACTTTGCTTTTCCTCTGCTGTAAATGATTTTTCTTTTTTTTTTTTTTTTTGTGGTACCTGGATTAAACTTACGAACTTGCACTTGTGAGGCACACGCAGAGCCACTGAGCTAAATCCCTGGCTGTAAATGATTTAAGAGTTCCAGTCCCAATCCTCTAAGAAAATTTCTCTGTGGCATTTTGCACTTGTTATTTTCTCTGTAAACTATCAAACTATTTATGCCACACATGTTTAGGATCAAGTAAAACACAACCATTGGCCAACACTTTGTGTTTCAAGTAACATCATAGTTGCTGCAAAACATATCAACAACATCTACTCCACCTTTGGATTTGTTTTAGAAAGCTTCCATATCTCAGGCTGCTGGTTTGTCAAGGTTTCCCTATCAATATTTCCATCATGGTACAATGTTGACATCAGTAGTACCAGTTTGTTTTTCTTTGCCATATGAGGTCAATATAAATCTTTCTGAAATCCAAAGATTGTACTATATAATTGTTTTGAAACTGCAACATTTCATTTGGAATTTCTGTTTTGATCCTATGTACACTTCCTGCGCTGGTCCACTTGTGTTCTGTTAGCTCTGTTAGCAAATGTAACATCAACTGGAAACTGATAAAGCAAATGTTAAATGTCACATTCCAATTAGTTTGGGAGATGGAGTGACAAATCTGTTCACAACATCATTTGGTTTAGTACTATATGAATAAGGACCTGATGGCTGAGTTCCAAGATAAATGTCTAAGTTAAAAGCACAATGTCTTTGCATTTACAAGGACATAAATTTTTATGCCATATTTTGGCCCACTGCTTTTCCATAAGTCTTGTACATTTCTGCGATTACCATGAGAAATCCCTGCTAAGTATAGCAGACCTATGAATGCTTTCGGTTCAGCTCATGAGGTGTCATAATAAATACATTTTTGAATATGCCTATTGCTCCATACAGAACGTTTTACTTGCATTTCAGCCTCTGTGTCTTTCACAGCATCTTGTAAGCATTTTGTCTGTTACAATTTCCAACACTGAATGGCAGTGCTGGCATTATCCAAGACTTACATTTTCAGACTTAGTTCTAACACTGGATCATTCCATTTGGCTCATTCCATTTTGCAACATTTTGACTAGCCAAATATGTACTCAAATTGCTGTTTTCTTCATCTTCTAAATCAAGGAAGTCTGCATCCCCTGTGTCTGTATCAGTCGATTCTTGTTCCATTTCACTGTCACAGAAACTCTTACTCACATGGCCAATGTCAAAGTCATCATCATCATCCACTCACATCACTCTTTTGTTATGAAAACATGTATTATGGTAATAATGGACCACCTTCACCATCCATGCCTGAGTAATCTGATGATTCACTTTTTTTGTTGGGGGTTGGGGGTTGGGGGGTAACCAGGGATTGAACTTGGGACCTTGAGCTTGCAAGGCAGGTGGCTGAACCACTGAGCTAAATCCCCAGCCCTGATTCACTTTCAACCTCCTCCAAAACTTGCAAATATGGTTTTTCATGTGCCATTGTGCTGAATTGGGCTACTTCTACCAGAAAAATCAAAAGAAAACTTTTTAAAAAATTCTGGAGTAGTGTGGGTCTATTTGGACTCTCTGTAATGCTTGAGAAAACATAGGCAAAACCAGCTAGACAGGGCATGTAGGTAAAAATCTCATTTTGCCACTTTTGCACACATGCACACACCTTGCCATTCGTCATACCAAGTGGGTAAACACATAGATTGCTTCCTGTATCCCTCAGGGAAAGGTATTGAGATGCACAGGCAGCTAATATTATACTAAAGTACAAATTTATAATAGAAAATTAAGGGATGGGTCCACTGGACCCAGTGTCATGCTCGCCAGGTTAAGTACATTGTATATAGCTTCATTCATTAAAATATTACTTAACTCAGTTCTCTTTTTACTTACATCTTTGCTTGGTGACTTAGTACAACTGGTTTTCATTTTGGGAGTTGAATAAAGCTCTGCTTTTGTAGAATTTGTAATAATGTCATCAATGAGACCTAAAACAAAAGCATGAAATTTTAAAAAGTAAATTTAATATAGCATATATTGGTTACAATTCAAAGTAGCTCCATAGGATACATGAAGAACTGTCTGGTTAGCTAGGTATGGTAAGACATACCTATAATCCCGAAACTCAAGATGCTGAGTTCTCAAAAGTTTGAGGCCAGCCTGGGCAATGTATCCTGTCTCAAAGTCTCAAAATTTATTTTCCTTTTTCTTTTATTTTTTGGTATCTGGGATCAAATTCAGGACCTTGCGCTTACCAGGCAGGTGCAATACCACTAAGCTACATCCCCAGCCCACCTGTCTCAAAATTTAAAAAGGGTTAGGGATGTAGCTCAGTGGTAAAATGCTATCCAAGGGCTTGTTCAATCCCCAATGCCACAATTAAAAAAACAGACAGACAAAAACTAGACATTAATTCAATATTTCAATGTTCCTGAAAGGCATCAAAAACTGAGAAAAGCAAAGATTCTTGAAGAAGTATGTGCTACTCTTCTTTTAGAGCTTGTACAGAAGATGCAGTTTTTCACTGTCTGTTTTGTGCTGAGAATAACTGGGGGAATGTAGATCAGTGATAAAGAGTACTTGCCTAGCAAGTACAATGCCTAGGGTTCAATAGTTGGCACCACAGGAAAAATAAAAGAAAAAAAAAACTGACACTGAGTGATTTACAATGAACAGAGAATTTCATATGGTTCTAAAGACTGTGATTGCGAAGTCCAAGGCCAAGAAGCCTGAATCTAGCAAGGGCCTTCTTATGCTATCCTAAGGCAGGAGGCAGACAAGTACAAATGTTTGAGTGCCAGACAGCAAGAAATCATACTTGCAGCCTCAAGACTTATGACTAGCATTAATCTCTTCATGAGTGCAGCACCTCAGGACCCAATCACCTCTCAAAGGTCTCACCTCTTCAAATATTTGCATTGGGAATTAAATTGCAAACACATGGGTTTGGGGTACAATGAAACACTGGCATTCAAAATCTCTCCTTATTCTTTTCATTGGCCGACGCTCTTATTCTGATGCTGATCAGTACTTAGAAAACTTTTTGCCCCACTTCCTTTAAAGGTATGAAAGTCTTCCAAGATTATCTCAGACTCTAAAGATCCCAAGAATTCTGCACATTTATTTCCAATATAGCGTTTCCCTTATTAAATGTATGGGTCCAGAAATAATTCAGATTTTTTTATTTTTCAGATTTTAGAATATTTGCATATACTTAATAAGATATCTTGGGGGTGGGTCCCAAGTCTAAACAAAAAATTCACTTATATTTCATGTACACCTTATATATAAAGCCTGAAGGTAATTTTATACAATATGTTCAGTAATTCTTGGCATAAACTAAAGTTTCATGATGTGGAATTTTCTACTTGTGACATTGCATTTCAGATTTTGGAATTTCAGATTAGAGATATTCAACCTACACACTAAATACTCTCTCTTATATATAATTATGTATGGACTTCAAGATTACAGAAACCTACTGTGAACTAGATGTCAAATTATTGTCAAATTACTGATTTTTAAAAAATCATATTACCCTTAGTATACAGGATGGATTATATGTGCACTCAAAATTCCAAGGAAAATGTTTTACCTATATTTAAATGCTAGAAAATATTTGCTACATTTGATATTAACATGACGGATTTATATTTTCATCCATTCTAACCCTCAAAGTACATCTGAAAATGAAGCCTTACTTTTTTCTTCAAAACAGTTTTGTAAGATTTCCAGCATGTTCTGGTTTTGGTTAGTATTAATGTCAGGTGCCCTAATAAAAAAGAAGAGAAAATATACCTTATCATTTCTGCAAGATAATTGTTACTTATAACACTTTTGTTCTGTTATTTATGTTACCATCTACTTAAATATTCTGTATCTAACTATACAATGTTAACTTCATAGGAAAAGCAGCTTTATTATGTGAACACAAAACGTGTACTTCAGGGCTTAAGAGTTTCCACAAGTGAACTCATCCCTTCGTATTGTAAAAGAAAATATATCATTATCTACATAAACAATTATATCACATAAACAATTATATTACAGAGTTGACCATCTATACGTAAAACTGGTTTAGCCTACTGCTGTATCTCAGTAAGAATATAAACTTTTTTTTTAATGTTTTTTATGTTTGGTTGGTCCTGAAATTCTCTCTCTCTCTCTCTTTCTCTCTCTCTTCCTTTTTTAACCGTACTGAGATTCGAATCCAGGGCTTCATATATGTCAGCCAAGCACTCTACCACTGAGCTACACCCACAGCCCTTACATGCCTCATTACTGAAGGCTTTACAGTCACAAGTCCTAAAATCTTCAACTAACATATTCTTCCCTACAAAATCTCAAAAAGAACTTTTGGTTCAATATCACTAATTTTAATAGGATTAGTGAGTGTAAACTGTTTGAATTAAAAATTACATTGACTGTAATTCACATGCACTTATAAAAAATAAAAGATCATTTGTTCATTTTACCTCATGCCCTCCAATGGTAACAATTTGCAAAACTATAACATAATATCACTATCAGGGTGTTACTGATATAATCGACCTGTTCATTCTGTCCAGCTCTACATATACTGATTTCTATATGTGGATATATTTAGTTTTATACAATGCATCACATTTGTAGGTTCAAATATCACAACAAGAATCTACATAGATACTGAACAGTTTGATCAGCATAAAGATCTCTCTACTGCTTTTTCATAAATATATTCACCTCCCTCTAACCTCCTTCTTGCCTTCCCCATTCTCCCATTCCTAACTTCTGGCAACCATTAATCTGTCCTCCATTTCTAAAGTTTTATCATTTAAAAAATTTATACATAAATGGAATCACACAATATATACTATTTTGCACTGACTGCTTTCACTCAGCATAATTCTCTAGAGTCATCAAAGTTGTTGCATGTATCTATAGCTCATTTCTATTTAAGTACTGAGTAGTGGTCTGTGCTAGGTGCGTAGCATAACTTTTAAACACTTGCCTGCTGAAGGACACAGGAATTTCAATCACGATAAAATTCTGACATGCATTTCTAACAGGATAGGAAATTTTTGCTGAAAGGGCCAGATAGTAAATACTTTATACCTGCATACCATTCAGTCTGTCACAACTACTCAACTCTGATATTCCAGCTCAAAAGAAACTACAGACATTATGTAAGCAAATGGGCATGGCTATGTTCCAATAACTAAAACAAAACCTGATACAGAATTTGTTACCAGTCTGTGGGTTATAGTTTACTAATTCCTCATCTACAACAATCCCATTATTCTTTAGTTATATATGAAGTAACTCAAAATGTGAACCACAAAGCATTAATAAGTCAACCATCACAGAATTTTGTAACTCAGATATTTCAGAAATCACGTAGTCCAACTATTATTATCTAAACAGTGGCATAAAATTATCTGTGGAGCTTTGCAAAAATACATATAATTGGTCTTTCCCCCCAAGAACAAATGGATATTTTCTAGGGGGATTTTGCTGCACAAATCTGGTTAAAAACTACTAAGTTTGAATCCTATCCCCTCATTTCCCAGATAGGAAATTAAAATCCACATAGGTCAAAGAACTTGTATAAGTTAATAAACCTAATTATTACTAGTGAAAAAGTTTATACTGGAACATATCATTATTATAAATTCTGGTCTTGACACTATCCCCAGAATATCATATAAAGGTATATACTGCATACTACAAATACTGTAAAGCCCTGCCATCCCTATTTTACAGATGAGACCCAGAGACATCAAATGATTTCCCAATGGTGATAATGCAGACTCAATGTTAGAACACAGTCACTATGGGTAAACAGGAATTCTAATTGATAATGTATGGATATAATCTCCTGGCAGCTACCAAATGATTTAATAAAGTCTCTTCTAATTTGTATAGGGAAAAATAATCTATAGTCACTAAGTCCTACAGCTTTTTTTTGAAATTTTTCTCTAATTCATCTCTCTTCCCTTTCTCATTAGCTCCTTAGCATACAAGCACCCCCACCATACCTAGATTACTGTAACCCTGAATTAAGCTGTTCTACAACTATCAAGCCGCTCTCCTCTAACTCATAAAATGTGTGTCTGAGTGCAAGCATGTATGTATTACATCTGTTAGGCCAAATTCCAAAGAGGACTTCAAATAGCTTATTCAAGCCCATAATAGATGCTTGAAGACTCACTCACACATCAACTTTCTGCCTCTGCCCAACTCACTGACCTCGATTTCTACTTCTATCCAACATATTCATTCTTTCAGGTCTGTCTGCTACTAACAACTATAATATGAGGAACTACTTTGGTTCTTTTGGTTCCAATACTTTCCACGTCTGAAATGTATTTTACCTTGTTCTTTACATATCTACTAACATTCACCTAATACTTCAACTTTAAGCTGTTCCTTAGAATCAACAATACACAAGTCCCTTAACTTCTTATGTAGCTATCTATACTTTAAGTGAATGCTGTTATCTTATTACTATTAAATATTTAATTAGAAATATTAATTGTACAGATTTTACAAGTAAAAAAAAGAGCAAATGACCCAAATAAGCACCCAGCAAATACAAGACAGCATGTATTTTTTCTTTTCTCCCTACTAAAGTAAGCTACATCTTTCTGAAATTACCATTCAACCCATTCTACAGTACACTTTTCCCACTGTCATTTGCTTAGAACTGAGTCCTTCTATTCCACCATCTCATCAAGTGGATTTCTCTTCTCACTGCCACTAAGTCAATACTGTTTGTATTAACATTTCTCTTAGTATAACATAATTAACTATACTTAGTGAACATAGACATTGTTATTTTACTCAGAGGTGATAATTTTTGCTTTCTTCACTTAAAAATTCACTTTCTGTACAAGAAAATAAAAGTTATCACCTGGAAGGCCGGCAAAATCTTCTTCGGTAGTCATTTTTTAGATGATCCTGAAAAAATTAAACATTTGTTTAAAATATAATCAAATATAACTTATTTCCAATGTAATTTCATTCTAACATGGGAATGGCAAACTTCTATTTCTTCATTAAGCAAGTATTTGTTAATCACCCACTGTTATAAAAGTTTTGAATCTAGTGAAAGAGAAATGTGCCCCACATCTACTATTTCTAAACCTTTCTTGTACTACTCTTTACTCCCTCCCTCAAGTTGATTTCGTATTATTCTTCCTCTTGCCCTACCTACCACTGTACTTTTCCATCACCAAAACCCAACTATCTGGGCTCCCAATCATTCAAGATGGTTAACAAAATCTACTTACATCCCTTCCACATAGAAATATTCCACTAAAATAATCATAAAGAACAAATATAACATAAAACAATAATGAAAAGAGAAAAATTGAGAAGACCATATGTGAACAAATGTAACAAATTTCCAGGAGACGGAAAACAGATGCAGAGTAATAAATGAGGAAACAGAATGAAGGCAGTAGCAGTCTAACAAAAGCTCAGAGGCAACTCCTCATGGAGGAAGTAGATAACTTATCCTCCAGGAGAAGCCATGAAGATGCAGAACTAGGAAACTCAACAAGATCTAAAGAAGGTAAAAAATGAGACAAGAGTAGAACCTACAGAACAATAGACTCATGCCTATCCTACTCTCATAAATACAGACTTCCCAATTAGTGTTTACTGTCTTCATCTCAAATATGACGAACATCTGGGGGATTACCCAACATTTAAATTTCTAAAACAAAAGACGAAAGCCAAGATATAATTTTTTTAAATGAACAAGAAACAGCCCTCTTAAGAAAACTAATGTCAAGGATGGGAAAGAAGACAATCTCAAAAATAAGGAAAACTATTATCTTCAAGAGATGTCTGAACTACTACACTCATAAAACTAAAAATGGTATACTATCTATCTATACTGAACAGAGATCAAGAAAAACTAATGAAAAACATAATTATCTAAAATTGAAATATTGTAATTAACATAAAGCTGAGGCTGTTTCTAAACATAAAAAGAAAAAAATGAAAAAATAGGAGAGTAAGATAAGAAAAATACAACCGTCAACCAATCTCTGACCACACTTATTCCAGACAAAACAAAGAAGAAACAGATATATGTAGTCTAAGAATAATGTATGAATACAATCAAATTTCCCAAATCTGTAAGACATAAAGAGTGTAACAGAGACCCATACCTAGGAACATAATAATGAAACTGAAAAAAAAAAATTGAGAATAAAAAAGGCTAGAATGTTTCTAGAAAGTCAACTCCCCAACAATGAGGCAGGAAATGAGAGTAACAGTACAAAAGAAAACACATAGAAATCCTGATACTGAAGTCAAGATCATATTTGAGATACTTTAGGTCCTTTTTGTTTTTCTTTTTCTTTTTAGGGGGTAGAAGGGGTAACACTGATGATTGAACCCAAGGCCTTCACACTGAGACATCCTCTTTTTAAATATTTTTTTTTGGTACCAGGGATCAAACTCAGGTCCTTGCGCTTGCGCAGCAGGCAGTGAAACCACTGAGCTAAATCCCTGGCCCCTCTTTTTAAAATTTTGAGACAGGTTTGCACTAAGTTGCCCAGGCAGGACTTGAACTTGCAATCCTCCTGCCTCAGCCTCACAAGTGCTGGCATTACAAGGCATTTGCCCCCGTGACCACCTGGTCCAATCTTTTAATTGTAGAAGTTATAGAAGAAATTTTCTAGTTGAAGACTTGATAGTAATAAGAGAAATAGCAAACTCTTAAAAATGAAAATATTATAAATACCAAGTGTTTATTAAGCCCCACCTTTAATGATATAATTATATAACTGAGATATAATTGTGCATAGATGAAACAACAAACAAAAATATACTATTTGTTCTAGGCTCATCTTGTATTTTCTCTGCCCCAACCCTTTTTGGTAGAGAATAGTCTTTAGAAACCATGAACTAGGTGGTATGTGTACTCTGCTTCAGGGAAGCTGCAGTCTGCTCTCCAGATTTCCAATGGACAAATGAGAGAATATAGTGTACATTTAAATATCACCATTAAACCTGTATTTCCCTGTATCTGTCTGTGAATACTGAGAACCTTGAGTTCATAGTGATACCTACAATTCCAATCAAAACCCATTTCCTTCTTTCCTGTACTTACAACTTTGTTCTCTAACATTTTCTGTACTTACAACTTTATCCTCCATGAAAACTGGTTTTCATGCATAATTCTTTTAAGCATTCTTTAGGTGCATCCACACATACAGTTTTTAAACCCCATGACACCCTCTTTACTCTGCTTGGGCTCAAACCTCCCAAACCCCTAGCCAAAAGCTCTCCCATCTGGGTTTCAGCCACCCCTCCTATTTATACTCCCTCCTCCCTCAGTTCAGGCTCTTACATCTTGTACCAAGCCACTGTCCTGTGAAGATGCCCAGGTTCGGATGAACCAGGTTGAGTCAACATTCCCCTCCTCCCCGGGTACCCTTCTCACCACACCATGCCTCACCACAGGAACACTCACTTCACCCCACTCGGGGTTGTAAGACCTCACCAGAAATCCTAAGTAGGTGTATCCCCCTTCCATGGTAGAAGTGAGAGCCCCTACATGGACACCAACTTCACCCCACTCATGCTCTGGCATCCTGAACTGGGCCACCTCTCAGATCCACTCATACTCCTATGCACATACTTGCTCTGAACCATGCAGTTCCTCACAAACAGGGAATACTTACTTTGCTTGGCCCTACTTAATAGCTTTTAAAATTATTTAGGAAAGAAAGAAAAACAGAAAACAAAGTATTCTATTAGATTTTAAGAAACTGGAGTTTTTTAAGGCTAATTTATATTCTTGAAATACCTTCGCCTACTACACTATACGCGCCACATGAACATCAAAGAAGATATAACCAATAACAAAAGCTCATGAAATAAAAAAATTTTTAATGGTAAGTTTGTTGTCTCCAGGATATACCTAAGATAGAGCCTATTTTATACATGGCAAAATAAGAAATAGAGATACCTAACAAGTCTCAGTTTTACTCCAAGGGTTTGTTTGGTTTTTTGGCAGTATTAGAGATCAAACGTAGGGCCCCACATATGCTATGCTAGGCAAGCACTCTACTACTGTAGTATACACTCAACTTAGCTATTACAATATTACAACAGCCCCACTGTTATTTACTCATTGAATGGAAACTTTTAACTCAAGCACTTAGGTTTCTGTTGAATAGCCAGCACTGTGAAACACTGAAGGAAAGTTCAACTCTGAGATTACACAAATTTCCAAAGCCTAAATTATGGCTAATCTTTTAATTTCACTCAACAAATTCAAGGATTTACCACTTTGCACTCTGCAGTGCTTCTGAAACTCAACACCTATAAAGTACGATGTTTCTCTTTTAAGAAATTTTTAAGAATAAAATCCTTAATTTGTTCAACAAGTATTACTTGAGCATCTACTAGAATGCCAAGTGCTATATAGGCAGACTGGAAAGCAGGTGATAAGGCAAATGCGGTCCCTTCACTCTAAGTTAAACGAACATTAAGAGGGCCAGGGATTTAGCTCAGTGGCACCGTGCCTGCCTCCCAAGCACAAGGTCCTGAGTTCAATATCCGGTACCAAAAAAAAAAAAATTAAGAATTCTTAACTTTCAAAATAAATATCGCCAGATTTGACTTCTTCAATTGACTTTTGTTTGCGTTTCTTCCATTCACTGTAAGGTTATCTTCCTCAAAGAAAATACTGTACAACAAAAATGGATTTGTCAACCCCCAAAGATTGACATTTTGGGGTGGGATGATTCCTCGCTGTGAGCCTGTACCACGCCCTGTGAGGGTCTTCACAAGCATCCCATCCTCTCCCCATTAGCTGGTCCGTAGCACTGTCAGTCTCCCCACACCTACCCCAACTCCTGCCTTGGGGAAAAAAACATTTCTGCAGACGTCACTAAACATGTCCTGGGGGGCAAAATTCCCACACACACACCCCTTGAGAACAAGTAAAGTACAGGAATGTCTAAGGATATCTCCCAACTCTTCTCTCTCCTGTCTTTTAAAAAGAATGTAACACCAAACCAGACATTATAACTAAAAAGCTTGAAACAGTTCTGAGATGAGAGGAATTTGAAAAATTAACTGCAGTAATTTGGTTAAGTCTTATTCTCCTCTTCCCTCAAAGAGAGTTACTGTAGAGTTTTTTCTGATTATATATAATGTAAACAATGTTCGTGTCCTTCGTACAGAACACAAATTTTACTATCCTTCCACACATCTCTGTGTACAAGTTCAATACACATATACAACTTTACACAGTGGGAGATCATCAAGGCTTTTAAGACTTCCTTAAAAGAGGAGTTAAGTGAGTAAATACAAGTTTGGGATAGGAAAAGATGGGTTTCGTAATACATATTAACCATGGCGAAGTCTGAAAGGCAGACTGGTGAAGGTCGAAGGGAAAGAATCGCCAATAACAACAAAAAGGTGTGGCCTCGTCAGCCTTTGGCGGCTGGCACCTCTGAACTAGCAGTCGCCTTTCCGAGGACTGATAGAGAAACACAGGTACCGAAAACACCTTAAAAACTGCACTCACGGCTCGACTTCTCCACAAAAGCTAACTGACAACGTCATATTTTTTCAGACACATATGGCACACAATCAAAAATCTGTTTCTCCAGACGAGCAGGACCGAAGCAAAAGTGTATTTCTACTCTAGGTAGAAAAGATCTGGAGGACTGGAGGGCAGGCCTAGGCTTTTCTGACGAGAAGACCCAAGGCCTGCGGAAGACAGCGGAAAACTGGCTGGGACGCCGATCCTGCGACACGGGGAGGCCGCCCAAGCTCGGCCTCTTCCCGCTCCCGCCCTCAGCCGCGCTTTACCAGGCCTGACGCCGCCATGTTCCGGCCCCGCTCGATCTGGGCAGGCGGGCGGAGTACGAAGCCCAAGCCGGCAACGAGGAAGCCGAGCACCTACGGAGTCCCGGGGCTCGCAGCAGGCAGTAGCGCAGAAACGCCGGGGAACGGTCTAGCGACGGACCGAGAGCTCCGAGCCAGTAAGCGAGTGCTTCCGAGACTCCCCGCCCATGAGCTCCGCCCTCTGCCAATTAGGCCAACCCCGCGCGCTACGGGGTTTGAAACGGGCAGCGCAAGCACAACGCGGACCACGCCGCCCAATTGGAAGGCAGCATTTATGGGCCCGCCCCGTCCTCCCGCTGCCGGGCGCTCCCTTCCGCCCTCTGTGGCTGAGGCTTTGGTCTGAAAGGCGTGATCTTGGCAGCTGCTCTGCGCTTTAAACACTGCGTAAAACTGCAGTTCCGTTACGGAAAAGTAAATAACACTTAGAAGGATAAGGGATCCAAGTTGCCGGAGACGATTTGAAGCGAAAGATTACCTTGTGCAGATTCGTCAGCCACGCCCAGCTCTAATAATAACCGTGTTAATTTTGACTACTTGGGTTCTTACTCAGGCGACCGATACTGTATATTTAATGGAACATCGTCCGCGAAATAGCCAGCGTAAATAAGTTTAGTATTCATTTAAGTATAGTTTCTGAAAATGATTTCATGCTGCCGCTTGACTTCTTCACCCACGGTCTCATAAAGGCAGCCTGAAGCGCGCGGTAATTGAAATGTGGGGCGAAAGTGTGAAGTAAAATGACTGCGGTAACGGACTCCTTCCCAGCCCTCCCCCTCGCTCCGAGCACACCCCACCCTACTTGCCACTTCCCAAGCCGTTCTGGAGTCCTGCTTCATGAATGTCTTTAGCAGATGTGATAAAAAATACAATGAATATAGGGACGGGGATTTAGCTCAGCGGCGCAGCTCCTGCCTGGCAAGCTCGAAGTCCTGAGTAAGATTCCCGGTTCGAAAAAAAGAAAACACAATGAATGCACCCACCCACTGAGTGCCACCCAGCGGAAGAGCAGGCTCCTAAAAACATTTTGGTGTGTCCTCATCCACCTTAGGTACCAGATCTGGCGCCATGCAACTTCTGGCTCTTCCTCAACCTCACAGTGGCCTTGACGGGTAAACATTTTGAATCAACTCAGGACACTGAGGCAGCCAGGACAATGCAGCTAAAGACTTTCAGGAGCCATGATTTTTCCAGGCCCCTCAGTTGTTCCTCGTTGGGTCATAACCTCGGTTCATTTCCTGAGGAACGTAGGTGTTACAGCAGTGCCTGTATAGCAATAAACCATCCTGGGCAGGATTAGAGTGGGAGTATGGGAGGCATCTGGAGGACCTGTCCATACTGGTGCAGGGTATTCGCAAGGGCTGGAGAGACAGCTTTTCAAGCTTAAGCCAATGGATGATAAAAGTATCTTCAGATTTGAAGATCTCAAATTTGAAACAATTGAAAAACCACAGTCCTCAAGAAACAGTGTAAAATCAGTCTGGTAATTTGTCATGAATTATTGTGCAAATAATTAGAAGTAGCAGAATAAACATTTCACAACTGTCAAATATTGTTTTAATTCTGATTCCAAACAAAGTATTTAGTGATGTTGCATATTAAAAGGAGGGAGTGCTGGAGATGTGGCCCAGTGGTAGAGTACTTGTCTAGAATGTGTGAGGCCCACAAAAAGAGGAAAAAAGAATTGTGCACCAAGAGACCTGAAACCTGGCTGGCTATTGACTAGCTGTGTCATTAAGGGCAACACTGTGGCACTATTCTGGATGCTTCTGTAATGATATAATGGAAATCTAAACTAGATGCTCTAAAGAGTTCATACCTTACCAGTGTATGACTCTATGAACCTGTGTCATGTTTTATGATTTAACCAAAAATTAGCAAGAAAGATGAGAAAATTTACTTATTGAATAAATTTGCTAGTCAAGAGTTGAGCGCATAATTTTAACGGTTGTAATATTTTAACAAATGCTGTCACCCGTTAAAACCAATTTTTAAAATGTAAGTATTTTTTTGATGGAGAAGAGAGTAAAACAAATTAAATAGACCTGAGTTGCTCTCTGCTCCACTAATTTTGCTGTTATTGGCCATTGAATTAAATTACCTGTTACTCAGTTCTCTTGCCTGTAAAATGGAAATAATATTAAAATTGTTGAGATGTTGTAACTAAATTCCTGTTATAATCTAAGCATAATATTGGCAATATAGTGAGAATTCATTCATAAATATATTAGTATTTTCTTTTTTATTGTGTTTACCACTTTTCCCAGTCTACATTATATTTGATTTAGTGTTGTCACATTGGGAATACATAATAAAATAATATGTACTGTGTGCATACTGTATGCCAGGATCTGTAAATGTTCTACATACCTTTGAAAAATTTAGAGTATCTTTGTGGAAGAACCAATAACATCTCTATTTTACAGATAGGGCACTTGAACAGAAACTTAAGTAACTTGCTCAGGATCACATCACCACTAAATGGCAGAGCTAGGTATTAACCCAAGAATTCTAACTAGAACTCCAGTGAGAAATTTTAGCATGCACAATCATAGACGTAAAGTCTTACATGTAAAATTATGAAAACTCCCCAGTTTCCACAATTTTCAGTTTCATCTGTACCAGTCCTATTAAAATACTTAATAGCACCTGCATAGTTTTAATGATCTTAAAAAGGGTTGTTGCAAACCTACTGGCACACTGATCCTGGTCTTCAGAACAGTAAGCAATAAATATTTGTCCTTTGTATAAGTAAGTAAATAAATAGGATAGTATACCATAGACTAGTGTTGCTAATTTATTGAAGAATAATATTTGTTTAAGAAAGCGGTTTTTTATTAATTTTATTGGTGCAATTTAAATATGCATAATGATCACATTCATCAAAGGGAATTTGTACCTGTACATGATATATCTTGATTCCTCTTTTTCTCCCAATAACCTCCTCTCCCTTCATCCCTCCCCCTTATTCACAAAAGCATGGTTTTCATTTTTTTCTTCTTTTCTCATTTTTTTCCCTTTTCCCTTCCTTTATTCCCCCTTCCCTTCACAGTTTCCCTTTCCTTTTGAACAATTTCTTCCTATTTTATATTATCTATTATACATTTTTGTCCTTATTTATCCTTTCAGTTTCTCACACCAGAGAGACAATGCAATATTTACACTTATGTTTCTGGTTTACTTCATTTAAGAATATAGTCTCAAGTTGCATCCATTTCACTATAAATGTATCAAGTTTATCTTTCTTTTTTTTTTTTTTTTTGGTACTGGGGATCAAACTCGGATCCTTGTGCTTGCAAGGCAGGCACCAGAACCACTGAGCTAAATCCCCTGCCCAAGTTTATCTTTCTTTATGGCTGAGTAGTACTCCATTGTATAAAAAAAACACATCTTTTTTTAATCCATTCTTCAATTGATGGGCATTTGAGTTGTTTCCAAGATTTAGCTATAGACTCCAAAAATTCCACAAAAACATTTCTAGATTTAATACCAAATTCAGTAGTGTAGCTGGATACAAAGCCAACACTCAAAAATCAATAGCATTCCTGGGGAATGGAAAACAACACTTTTCACAATAGCATTAAAAACGATGAAATACTTAGGAATCAATCTAACAAAGGAAATAAAAAACATGCATAGAAAATAACAGTTCTCTGAAAAAGGAGATCGAAGAGGATATCAGAAGATAGAGATATCCCCTGCTCTTGGGTAGGAAGGACCAACATAGTGAAAATGGCCATACTCCCAAAACTGTTAGTACAAGTTTAATGCAATCCTAATCAAATTACCATTAGCATATCTCACAGAACTAGAGAAAACATTCCTAAACTTCATTTGGAACCAGAAGAAACCTAGAATAGCAAAAACAATTCTGGGCAACAAAGGCAAGGCAGGGGGGCATCAGAATCCCTGACTTAAAATTAGAGCTACTGTAATAAAAACAGCATGGTACTGGCAAAAAAAATAAATACATAAAACAAGAAAACAGACCTGAGGATCAATAGAACAGACTAGAAGAGGAAGAAACAACACCAAAGGCACTCAGCCATCTTAGCCTTGACAAAGGGGCCAAACATGTTCACTGGAGGAAAGATAGCCTCTTTAATAAGTGGTGCTGGAAAAACTGGTTTTCCATATGCCAAAGACTAAAACTAGACCCATATCTCTCACCATGCATGAAACTAAAATCAAAATGGATCAAAGATCTAAATATTAAAACATCACATTTGTTTTTATAAGTCTCCCCAAATACATATGAAAATACTTCTGTTTATGGCAAGTGATTAAGAGAACTGTTTGTGTCTGTATGAATCAGTCTATTAAAGTACATGTAGTTAGATGTATAAATTGGGAAAATTAAGTATCCAGAAATTTAGGTGAAAGAAAAGTAAAAACTTTTAGTTATTTATTATCAAAGTTTCTTCATTTATAAGGCTTCATAAAGAAATGGAAGCCATATCACGTAAATATTCACAAGTGAACTAGGCACTTAAAAATTATTCCATATTCAGCCAAGGATAGTGGCACACATCTGTAATTCTAGTACTCCAGGAGGCAGGGGTAGAAGGATCACAAGTTTGAGCACAGCCTTGGCAAATTTAGCAACTCAGCAAAACTGTCTCCAAAAATTTTTTTAAAAGGGTAGTGATATAGCTCTGGGTTCACCCTCCAATACCAAAATATTCTATATTTGATTCTCTGGAACAGTTTAGTATGAGCATCTATCCCTGTAAGTGAATAAACAAATTGAATTACGTTGAAACAGTGGATACTTCTCAGCAATAAAAATAAATTCCTGACAAATACAACAATATGGATGATTCTCAAAGGCATTGAACTAGGTGAAAGAAGCCAAAGATAAATGATTATATGAAAAGAAATGAGATCACTTCAGGGATGAGGAGGCTATAAAGGCACACAAGTTTTCCAGTGGCAGAAATATTTTATGTCATGATTATGGTGTCTGTTGTATAACAACATATATTTCTTGAAACTCTTAGAACTGCTCCTAAAAATGGTGACTTTTGCAGATTTACCTCAATAAATATGTGTGAGAAAGAGAGAAGCAAACACGCTATGTAAACCAAATGCACCCATGAATCTTGATCAACATCTGGTTCAAAACAAAATAAGCATAGTAAAACAAGTATAAATAAAATACTAATTGATTACCAAATAACATTAAGGAATTACAAATTTTTCTTAGGTATT